TAAAGCCTTTTATCCTCTAAATGGATAAGGAGGAATATTGTCATGACTCAGCAGTAGGGGAAGACAAATCGACCGGGGCAGTTTAGACCTTTCAGGTAAACCGACCGAGACATTTTGGGTACTTCAAGTAAGTGTTTCCTCCTATATAAAGGAGGTGAGATAACCCTAAACCCTAACTTCCTTCCATTCATTCACACTCTCCTCTACAGTTTCTGCTGCTCTCTTAGAGCAGCTTCTCTTCATCTCTCTCACATACTGACTTGAGCATCGGAGGCTCTACGCCGGAAATACTTCTGGTGTTGGGTTCTTGCAGGTGTTGTTGCAGTCTTGCAATGGTTCGAGGGCGATTCAAACAGATATGAGCTCATTACCACCGGTTCACTCTAGATCTAAGGGTAGACCCATCAGTTTTACTAATGTTCAAAAATTTAAATAAAAATATATTAAATGTTCTTTAAAATTTATTTGTATATTATTGGTAACCATGATTATTTTTTTATCATTTTTTATATTTTAATTTCTTTCTGTAATGATTTTTTTTTTGTAAAATATATTTTCATTGCAAAGTATTCTACATAAACTATAATTCCTTACAATGAAAATTAGAAAAATCTTGATTATAGAAGAGATTGAGTTTTGACATTTGCTAAATCAAAGTTGTTTAATTACATGTATGTATATTTTGTAAAATATTTATACACTATTTAATTTTAAATTTAATTAGAACTCATTACCCACATTTTCTGTTCCTTTCTAAAAAAAAATGCTTTTGTGAAATATGTTTGCAAGAAATTGGGTTTTGATAATAGACTAGTTATAGTGGATCCAAAAGGCCTCAGTGGTGGGCTAGTATTGTTTTGGGATGCTCAGGTAGTTATCAAGCAAATTCAGTGTAAAGATTTTTATATAGATGTGGAATTTCAATTGCAATCCTCTATTTCCCAATGGAAAGTTTTTGTTTACCTAAGTCCTAGTAGAATGCTCAGAGAGGCTCAGTGGGAAGAAATGCTCATAGATAAACATATCTGGGGCCAAACTTGGTTCTCAATTGGTGACTGGAATGATATTTTATCTAACTCTGAAAAATCCAGAGGAATCACTAGACATATGGCAAGTTTTCAAGGGTTCAGTAATTTCAGCAATGATATGGAGATGACAGAGATCAAGCTAGAAGGCTATCCTTTCACATGGTGCAACAACAGAGTACTTCCTGATTTAGTGGAAGAGAAACTTGATAGAGCCTTTGGCTCATTTGAATGGTCTCAGACATACCCCAATGCAGCTGCTTCTCATGTCCTTAGAAGCTCATCTGATCATTCGACCATACTGCTAGACATGAGAGGTGAGAAGGAAGACTTCTTTCCATTTTGACAAAAGGTGGATAGGAAAATAAGGTTTTGAAGATGTGGTGAATAAACCATGGCTTACCGCAGTGACTGGCACTCCATTTTTTTAGCTCAAAGAGAAAGTCAAAAATACCAGAATTGCTTTACTCATCTGGAGCTCATCTTTTCAATCTCAAAATCAGAAAGCAATTGCAGATCTTACTCAGAAATTGGAATCTCTGAACGTGGACAAAGCTGGCAGAAATTAGGAAGCCTGGGAAACTACTAGGAGGAATTTAAACAAGGCACATTTTCAAGAAGAACTGTATTGGCAGCGGAAGGCAAAGCACATATGGTTGAAGGAGGGGGATGCTAATACTTGATTTTTCCATTTTACACTTCAAAAAAGAAAGCTAAATGTCATTACAAAACTGATTTCAGCACAAGGCAGAATATACTCCACTCAGAAAGATCTTGAAAACTATATAGCTGAATTCTATACCAACCTCTTCTCAACAGAGGGCAGCTAGGGTAGGGACTCCATACTTCCTCTCATCTCCACAAGCATTTCACTAGACATGAATCAAGCTTTGCTCAGAACAACAGAAGAAGAAGAAGTGAAATTGGCCTTGTTCAGCTAGCAACCAGTTAAATCCCCAGAAGAGGATGGGATGACAGTTGCTTTCTATCAACAAGTTTGGAGCCTTATTAAGACAGACCTCATGAGGGCAGTGCATAACTTCTTCCAGTAAGGTATGATGCTAAAATATTGGAATCACGCAGTAGTTTCATTGATCCCTAAATGTGAGAATCCAGAATCTTTGAGTCAATTTAGGCCTATAAGTCTTTGCAGTGTAGTTTATAAAATCATATCCAAATTGCTTGCTCGAAGACTTAAGGCTTACCTAAACTACTGTATCAGTGATTACCAAGCTGCATTTATTGAGGGCAAGCAACTGACAGATAATGTCATTATTGCCCAAGAGGCATTTCATTTCTTGAACAGACATTCCACTGGTCCTAATTGCTTTATGGATCTTAATTTAGATCTAATAATAAAAGCTTTTGATCGTGTTGAATGGCTTTGTCTGGAAAAGATTATGCTCCAAATGGGTTTTCATTGTGATTTTGTGAAGCTTGTCATGCTCTGTGTTTCCACTGCTTCATTCTCTTTCAAGGTAAATGGCTCAATCAGTGGATATGTGACCCCATCTAGGGGCATAAGACAGGGGGATCCTTTATCCTTCTACCTATTCATAATTGTGGTTGAACTGCTTACTGGTCTGCTCAAAGGGATGAAATTATCCAGAAATGGCCCTCTGCTCTCTCACCTTCTTTTTGCAGACGAGTTACTAACTTGAAATCCAACGCTAAAAGATTCTCTATTCTTTTGCAAAGCTGGTGCAGACCATGCAGACATCCTTATGAATATCCTTGAGCAGTACAGACTATTCACAGGACAATCAGTCAATCATAAAAATCTGCAATATTTTTAGTAGAAATACACCACAGCATCTTCAGACCTCCATCTGCAGAACCTTGAATGGTATTGTCTCTCACAGATCAACAAGATATCTTGGCCTCCCACTTGGAATTGAAAGATCAAAAAGGGAAGTTTTTGAATATCTGTTGACTTTAGTCCGCAACAAATTAACTAGTTGCAAGAAAAAAACTACTAAGCACAGCAGGGAAGGAAGTACTCATCAAAGCTGTCGTAAGCACTACTTGTCTTCTCTATGTCCTGCTTTACTCTTCCATTATCTCTCTGCTCAGAAATTTCCAAAGCTTTGTGCACAATTCTGGTGGAGATCAGGAGTTGAACAATCTCAAGGAATACACTGGAAAAAATGAAGTTTCCTATCTCTCCCCAAGGATAAGGGTGGACTGGGTTTTCATGACTTACAGCTATTCAATAAAGCACTCATTTATAAACAATTGTGGAGGATAGCATCAAACCCAGATCTCCTTGTCAGCAGACTTCTCAAAGACAGGTACTTCCCTCATTCTTCTTTTGTTGATGCTACTAAGACTCAAGGTGGATCCTGGATGTGGAATAGTTGGATGGATATGATGCCTATTTTTGCAAAGTGGTTAAAGATTAAAATCAGAAGTGGGGACAACACTAGAATTGCAGATTTAAATTGGATACCTAATCTCAATAAACCTGCTCCTACGTTCATTCCTATTGCTAGAGGGCATATGATATGGGTTAGAGAATTACTGCAAAATAATGGCACCCAATGGAATGAATGGTTGGTCAGATAAGTTCTTAATAAGGCTGATAGCAATGCTATTCTCAGCATATCCACTCTGCACCCTCATAGGCAAGACAGATTATTATGGGGGCTAGAGTAGAAAGGACATTTCTCTGTCTTCAGCACTATGCTCACCTCAACAACCTTAATGTTTGCACTCAGACATACCAGAATGCAACTCCACCACATCAGCTAAGAAATCAATCAGATTTAGGCATTGAAAATTGAAAATAACAGGTAAGATCAAGCACTTCTTGTGGAAGTGTATCTTAGGCACTCTTCTTGTGGCTGTTCAGTTGAATAAAAGAGGAGTAGAAATTGACACTACCTGCTCTATCTGTGGTGAAACAGCAGAAACTGTTGAACACATCTTTTTTTCATGCCACAAAGCTACCAGATTTTGGAAGTTAAGCCCTCTTCGATGGGATGGTTTATCTGGCTTCACAGACTCCTTCAATGCTTGGTGGTATCAAGTATGTTCGTTCTCTTGATCATTTTAAGGTGGTTGAAGCTAGAATACAACTCACAACATACATGCTTTGGTGGCTTTGGAAATCAATGAACTTGTGGATCTTTCAAAACTCTTTAATCCCAGAGCACATGTTGCTCAAGATGGCACAATCAAATTGGCTGGAATTCTCTCTTGCAGCTTAGTCCTTCAAATTTTGGTTTTGTTTTTGTTATTTTTCTAGGCTTGAGTTGAGTTCCTTGCTAGGCTTTATAATAGTGGTAGGGTGCTTCACTCTTTGGCTTTTTTCTGTATTTTCCTATCAGCTTTTCTGTGTTTAGACTGCTAGTTGGTTTCTTGTTGAGGCTCTAGACCGCTTAATGCGAGTCTCTCAGTTTTTCTTTCTAGTTGATGCTATGTACTCATTGTATTCGAACTTTGTTCGCTTTGAACTTTATAATAGTTACCTTTATCGTTTTGGGGGAAAAATGATTACATAATTAAATAATACTAACGTGCAAAAAATATTTTTCATTAGATAAAATAAAAAGAACAAGAAGACATACAAATTTTGTAACTTTTATAAATAATAACGACATTATATGATAACAAAGTTTATAATAAAATAATAATCAACTATTATATGTTGAACAAGAATAGGTAAAACTGTTATTTTCTTTTACATTAAAGAATAAATATATATACTAAAATTAAATTTGTATTAGAATAAATGTGTTAATGTGATAATATATTAATTATTTTATAACCTAGCCTAACATGCTCATATTTAATGTTCTAGTTAAAAAAATGATAATTAAAAGAGGTGAAAAATAGATTATAACCATATTGTTTTTAGATCTAATGCAGATTAAAAGAAGTAAAAAATGAATGATAATTCTATTGTTTTTCAGACTCAAACGAATAGAATCTATAAAAATAACTTATTTAATGTATTTCCATCATCGTAGGTACGTAGGAGTTGGCAAAAATGAATTGGCCGCCCTCATCCGGAGAAGGGCGGGAAAATAAACCCATAATCTGCGGCAACACATTTCTCCATAATTCTCACAATTCCGCATAAAGATCTCTGAACTTCACAGTGCTCACCCTGATTTTCCATCTCGAACAGAAGGCAGACGGTGAAACAATGGAGTCCACTCTCAAAGTATGCAATTTAATCTCATTATTATGTTTTTCTCTTTTCTCTCATTTGCTGTGTTATCGTTTCTACCACTAGGGTTTTTTTATTCCTAATTTCTTCTCAATTTGGTACAGACATATTTTGGCTTCTCAAATTTCCGACCGTACCAGAAAGAAATAGTGGAGAACATTCTGCGAGGAAAAGATTGTTTAGTGGTCATGGCCACTGGAAGTGGCAAGTCCCTGTGGTAACTACTAAGCTTAGCTCGATTTACTCCTGTATGTAACATTTTCTTTATCTTCATAAGAAAAACCATTTTGTTGAAACAATGTATTGGTTAAGCTATCAGGTGCCACCATTGATTGCAAAAAAGACTGCTGTGGTCATAAGCCCACTTATATCGTTAATGCAAGACCAGGTTTGCTTCTTAACATCCTCCTTTTCTTTCTTTTAGTTTACTTACTAGTTTGTTAAGTATATCTACTGCTGGTTTGACGGTGTCCGAAATGTGAGATGCTTAGGTAATGGCGTTGAAACAAAGGGGTATACGTGCCGAAAATCTTTCTAGCGCTCAGTCTGACTCTAATGTGTATGCAAATGCTCAACGTGGTGGGTACGATATTTTGTACATGACCCCTGAGAAGGCATGCATGCTAGCAGCCAGGTGCCTTTTCCAGTTATCTGTGGTTCAAGAATTTAGTGAAAACCTAATTTTATTCTATTTATTTTTCTAAGTTCATCTTCTATATTGTCATCACCCGTCATTGTTCTAGTTGGAATGCTTTCGTGACAATTATGTGACTTTTTAGCTTCCCGTCGCATGACTCTTGTTCATCACTTGAAAACTGAATGCACTAAATACTACGGAAACCAAATAATTGACCCATTAACTAATCAAGCTCTTAAGTGCATATTGTTTTTTCTTAAGCGAGTGATTTGAATGCCGTTTTCACGAATTAATATGATTATTATTGTTTCTTTCTTCTCAAATTTCCATTCCTGAGCTAAGATAATGGTGCTGCAGTTTCTGGTCAAGATTACTGGATTCAGGAATTTGCCTATTAGCTGTTGACGAAGCACATTGCATATCAGAGTGGGGTCACAACTTCAGGTGAGTTTGTTATATATGCAATGCATGAGTTTACTTGTAGTTTAATTTTCTCTGTTCTGAAGATATTTGATTCTTATATTTGGGCAAAATAACTGGTTAGTCTCTGAATCTTCAGCGCACAATAGATGCCTATCATATATTGAACACGTGATTCTTATCACAACTTAAATCACAAATGCATCAAGACATAAACAATCAAAAGCATTTCAAAGAATAGAAGATTCACTTGATTAATCTAGCTGCAGCAGGGTCAGGAAATGCTCCTTAACTCCTTTATGACTTCTAAAAACCGATCCCTGGTAAAATTCAAGGTTTAAATGTGAAGTACACTAATGGGTTCATTTCCACTGTGAGTATGAGAAATAGTTTTCTAAAATATCTATGAAAGATTCCCTAATGACTTGCAAACTCTGACTTCAGTTAACAAGCGGAGCACATTTTTTCATCTCTCGAAATAAATCCACAGATAGAGTTCTTGAAACTGCGGAAAAGTGGACGCAAGTACAATTTTTGCCTGATGTAATCTTTGGATAAAAAATTCATCCTCATGGTTATTAAAAGCAGTCCAATAAAATAAATGGTGATTTTGGAAAGATCATACAGTTCGGAAACTTCTAGAGAATAATGAAATCTTCCCACAAATGGAAATTTTAAGATCTCGGAGAATTTGAAGCACTATAGGTCAGTTAAGAAAACCATTCGGTCATTAAGTCCATCTTGCACTTGATCAAAAGCAGTTGAAGAATCAGTTAGACCGGGCCTGCCCCACGTCTTAAATGTACCCCATATTTCAAGTTTTCGACCTTATAGAAAATTATACAATTTCCTAACTGGTATGTGTTTTCTCATGATTCTGTTTTTCTGGCAAATGTATTTTTCTTTCTTATGAGATGCTTACTGGTTGAGGTAAATCTGTGTTACAGGGTGGAATATAAGCAATTAGATAAACTGCGCGATGTTCTCTTAGATGTTCCATTTGTTGGACTGACAGCAACTGCGACAGAAAAGTACGTATTCATGCAGTTTAAACTTTAGCCATATACCTGCTGTCATTGTAACTAGCCTGTTGCCAGAACTTACATTCACAGTGCGCTTGGAATTCTGTATTGACTTATATGATTGGGTTTCATTTTGTGAAGGTTCCATGTAAGTTATCCTTTTGGACAACATTTCATAATCATCATATAGCTAGGTCCCAGATACCATATTTACTATCCTTTTATTTTGTAAGATGAATATAGATAAGGGTTTCCTCAAATTCGTGTATTTCTAATATGATTTCGTGAATCGTAGTTTTGCATTAGTTTTCACCTTAAATGAGACTGAAGAAAGCATCCAAAACAATTATTCTATTGGCACAAAATCTTGTTTTCTCTTTTGGAAATAAATTACATGTTCCAACTGTTAGTGACACAATTTGTTAATATTCAACAGTCTATCAATGGTTAAGTTTTTGTTTATTGTATTTTTCTATACTAGGTATCATTTTTCTCGAATGTTTGGATAAAGATTAGTGATTTCCAGGGTTTGTGATGACATTATAAAGTCATTGAAGATGAATTCTCCTCATGTAACCATTGGTTCATTCGATCGCCAGAACCTCTTCTACAGTGTCAAAAGTTTTGATCGGGGAAATGCTTTTATGAACGAGCTCGTGAAAGAAATATCTACATGTGTCGACAAAGGAGGTTCAACCATAATATATTGTACAACTGTCAAAGATGTTGAAGAGGTCATTCCACTTTTCTCAAGTTTCATATCAAATCTTTTTATGTTTTGCAAGCATGAGTTCCTGAAAATTAATGTCAGACGTCAAACATAACATTTTAACCGTACATCCGAGCGGGGTCTTGATGAGGTCTGTTGTGTTTCATGTTGGAGTTATTGGCACTTCAATATGCTTTTTCTTCTCTAGATTTTTAGGTCCCTCAAGGAAGCAAGAATTGAGGCTGGAATGTACCATGGACAAATGTCAAATAAAGCCCGCGAGGACTCCCACAGGTTTAATATTTTTAAATCTCTAAGAAAAATTGTTATTCTTAGCTTTTTTTTTTTGTCAGATCAATGTAACATTTTTCTTGGAAAGTGATTAACAAGCTTTCTCATTTTGTCTATTGCCATGTAGATCACACTTTCCATGCTCATCGCTTTGGAAATTTTCCTGTTTGATCTATATGTACCATTTGTCAAATGAATAGTCCTATTGGTTCAATATCATAACCAATTACGACATGTTGCAGATCATTCATCAGAGACGACTTCTATGTCATGGTTGCAACTATAGCTTTTGGCATGGGCATTGACAAGTCTAATATAAGACATGTGATACACTACGGATGCCCAAAGAGCTTGGAATCATATTATCAGGAAAGTGGACGTTGTGGCAGAGACGGGATTCCTTCTTTCTGCCAGCTATATTACACGAGAAGTGACTTTGCAAAGGCTGAGTTCTACTGTGCAGAAGCACAAACGGTATTTGTCATTGTCTTAAGATTCTCAATAGTATCACACATATGGCCTTTGCACAGTTTTTGAATAGGATCTTTTTATGTTCCGCTGATATTATATACCTTTCTGATGATTTTATTATACCAGCCGGAGCAAAGAAAAGCAATAATGGAGTCATTTATGGCTGCACAAAGGTATTGTATGCTGACAACTTGCAGAAGAAAGTTTCTGCTGGAATACTTTGGAGAGAAATACTCATCTGATAGCTGCGGTAAGAACACTATTTCCTTTTCTTTTCTGTATAATTTGTAAGACCTGTACTATGTAAAACCCTCTTGTTCAGTCAAACTTGGAAGTCTGCTGTGTAATTAGTATCCTTGCATGCATTATCCTAAATTTTATGCCTGAGGAACAATATAATTTTGTTGTTATTGGCAATTCATGTTGTTTATTTGCTCTGGATACATGCTGTCAGTGAATAATTGGTTCTAATGTAAAGTACAAAGCGTAATCTGGAAAAATGAAACTTATTCTAAAATTTGACGGTGGCTGTCTAATTTAGTGATCTCAGTCATTCATTATGTGGCACTTCTGTTGGAATATGTGAAGTACTAAACGTTGATAACAGTTCTCAGGGAACGAATAATTTCCATCTTTATTATTTATAATAAAGGCTTCACATTCAATAAAAATAACACTACATCCACAAGCATCAATATAGGTCTTGCAATTTCAAAAGTATCTTGCAAATGTTCAAACAGTTATAAGTTGCAGCTTGGGAAACCTGTTCTTAAAGTACAGAGAACTAGCATGCTAAGACAGTGTTATTGGTCTTGAATTGTGGCCTTTCTCCAAAATTGGATAAACAATAAGATTATGAAAATTGTTTTCGCCTCATTTTGCGGTTTTTATAAGTTTATGTTATGCCAGAGAGTAAGGTATGTATTTCATTAGTTTCCAGTTAGGGTCTGCTAAATATGATAAATGCAGGAACATGTGATAATTGCACCAACTCAAAGAAAGAGAGTGACTTGTCCAGAGAGGCGTTCCTTCTAATGGCTTGTATTCAATCTTGTGGAGGGCACTGGGGTCTCAATTTGCCTGTAGATGTTCTTCGTGGATCTAGAGTAAGTTCTCATGCTGATGAGACAAATATACACACTTAGAAATGCGCGGGGTTTGAGAAGATAAATAGTTTGGAAATGACCTGAGCCTGTGGGAGTTGTCAATTACTTTTTCTCTCCTTTTATTACTGAATTCTGAAGAAACCAAAATTGGACATAGTCAAACGTCATAATTGTTGTAAACTTATACTGCAATCTGTATTTTGAAAGCCTTGAAAAATCAATGCTCGATATCCATTAGTTGACCCTTTATTTTAATGCTCTAGAAGTTCATTATTCGTAGTAACACCTTTACATGTTAATACAGTCCAAGAAAATTGTTGATGCTAATTTGGATAAACTTCCCTTTCACGGACTTGGTAAAGATATACCAGCTAATTGGTGGAAGGCACTAGCTTATCAGTTAATTTCACAAGGTATATAACTGTAGCCTCTCTCTGAAATATATGTGTTTAGGTATTTCTTGTCCATCCAGGATTAAGATATGAATTATCATAACATTTGCTAGTAATTGTTTGCATCATAATTCAAAGATCATATTGGAAGTACTATCACTAATAGATTTTTTTTTTTTTTTTTTTTTTTTTTTTTTGTTTTTTTTTGTTTTTTGTGATTGAAAAATCTCTGCTGTGGCAATGATCCTTCCATATGGTTATTTAAAGTTTCCTTCCAGTTTAGTATACTTTCTAACGATTTTTCACTGAACATAATAAGGGAATTGTATCTTTCTTGGGTATAAGAGTTAACTGATTCTAGAAAACAATAAATGATACTAATGAGGAAAATGAGGGGGGAAAACTGATACGAGTGACTAATAGGTGTTGAAGTACACAAACGCTGTTGTTAGGGTGCTTAACCTTTACCCAGCCATACTTACAAAAAATGCATACTTATACTATGAGATGCCATACTTTTGTTTATATTGTATTTTAAAGCATGACACATGGGTATGAAGTACGTATTTTTGAAAGAGTATGGCTGCCTAACCATTAGAGAGCTTAACAGAAGACCTACGAGGTAAGGTAATTTGAATAGGAGTATTGGGTTCAAGTAAAATCTGCCCATACCAGTATGTGTAGGGCTACCTTTTGTGATCACAAAAATTTTATGACTTGTACTTCAACTATAGAGCATTTAGATAGTTGTAAGACTAGTTTAACTTTTAAGAATACTTAATTTTTTCTCAAACTTTAGAATGTGAACTGGCTTGTTTAAAAAGACTTCTATTGGCTGTTAATTGCAAACTTCTCTTTAAATATTAAATTTTACAAGTCCTGATATCTTATTCAAATTTTGACTTGGAGAAATTCACTCACACAAATCCTTTTTCCATGCAATAAGTAATCTGTAGAATTAGGAGGTACTAGAAACTGATTACCTTTTGCAGTTTTTTTCCATTTATCTAATGGAGACCACAGTTTTGTTTGGATTTAGTGTCAAAAGGTGTAGCAATTTATCCTATTTTTGTTTTACCTTCCTTTGATTGGTATTCAGCACGACTTTCAATTTATTGCAGATTATCTGACAGAGACCTTCAAAGATATATACAAAACTGTAAGGTAGACTACTTCCCCCTCCCCCACCAACTCCCGTCCCAAGTGAAGCGTTTTGTCCATTGTCACTTTCCAGTGCAAACAAATACTGAACGAGACATTTGTTCTTTGTGTACCAGAGTTGGTCCAAAAGGGATGAAATTTTTGAATTCCTGTAGTCCTGATTATCAGCCTCCTTTATATCTGATCCTGACTCCAGAACTGGAGATTGACAATACAAGCAAAAATGCAGTTGGTTATGGAGTTGTCAATGGTTTGCCACAGGCTGAATCTGATGGATTATCTCAGGTGTGAGTGCTTTTATAAAGCCTAAGCATTATGTCAGACGTAGTTTACGGTTAAATTCCAAAATTTCTCTCCTTTTATCTCGATAATTTTATCTCACCGTAGCTTATGTTCAATATCTATGAGTTTAGGTTGAGGATCAGCTTTACAAATTGCTTGTTGAAGAGAGAAGGAAGCTTGCAAGAAACCATGGAACTGCTCCGTGAGTCCCATTTTGTTCCCCTAATTTAGCATTTGTTGTGTCAGTCATAGTTGAAATAAATTCATCTGGTGATCAGAAGTATTTTTTTCTTATTGTGTGTATGTGTGTTTGTTTATTAATTAATGTATTTTTTTGCTTTCAGGTATGCATTATGTGGTGATCAAACCTTGAGAAGAATAACATCACTGAGGCCCTCTACACGGGCAAGGCTGGCTAATGTTGATGGTGTAAATCAGGTATTTTGTGTGATGGACACCAGTGTTAAAAAAATTCACTTCACATGACAGGACTTCAATTTTGGGCATCTATGCATGTCCAAGAACATTCGATGTGATGTGAATGTATATATTGTTATTGGTTAACAAGATATTTGTGGAAGTTGTTCATGTTTTATCGCTTGTGACTGAGTCTACAAAAATATAATGGAATATAGCTTGGTAGGAAATGTTTCTTAATCTTTTTGAATCAGTGTACAGTAACATCATGATTACCAACATACTAAACATGGTGGATTCAGGATATTTAACTTTGTTGGGTGTATTTCAGAATAGATATTGAGGTGAAACATGATAAAGCTAGAAACCCAATAAAATATATCTGGCTGCCCTGTGGAGTCACAATTTGTATGTGATAAATTTGATTTGTATGCATGCTTGCAGTAGAAAATGATGTATGATGCTGGGTTTGTTCAGCGCACCTATCCAGTTTGTGGTTCTAATTTGGAAATTTTCGCTGCAGTACTTTATGACAAAATACGGAGATTGTTTTGTACAAGTCATTCAGCAACTGTCGAAAGACCTTGGCCTCTCTCTGGATGGGGAGCAAATTCAAGAACATCCTATGCCAAGTAAGGTCGCTACCATTCACACCAACAAAAGACTAACATCTGCAAAGTTCGAAGCTTGGAAAATGTGGCAAGAAGATGGATTTACATTCCAACAAATTGCTGTAAGTTTTTTGCAAATAATGTTAATTTTTGTTTTTTCTTGTTAACTTTTATTTTTTCTTTTATTTTTTTTTCCCAGAATTCTGCACGTAGAGCGGCCCCAATAAAAGAAACAACTGTCCAAGAGTATATTTTTGAAGCCGCAAGAGAGGGATGTTCGATTGATTGGGCCAGATTTTGTCTGGAGATAGGGCTAACGCAGGAGATAATCAAGAACGTGCTAACAGCCGTGGAAAAAGTTGGAAAAGACAAGTTAAAACCGATAAAAAATGAATTACCTGAAGAGGTAGACATGCTTTTGCTTGTGGAATATTACTGCATGAGATTCAATCATTATTTATTCTTGAAAACACAAGTAGAATAATCTCTGTTATAACACTGTTCAGGTAACTTATAGCCAGATAAAGGTCTGCTTGATACTGCAAGAGATGGGAAAGTTAGAAGTTATTGTGCCCAGTCTCCAGGTAGGCTGCAAAGTAGATGAACCTCAAAATGGGACATCAAAAAACTCTGAAGTTCACGAGATTTCCAACGATGTAGATACAAAACAGCATGTGGATGGTATTGATGATTTAACTTGTTCTACAAGAAAGCGCCAAAAACTTGATGCATCAGGCGCCGAGTCTCGTGTTGGTTTGGAGGTGAACGAGGATTCTGTGCTCGACTGGCTCAAGAATTTCGAGAATGGGGTGAGTTTTTGCTGTGTTGTATGTTTTGTGATGGGCAAGTTGAATACATTTTAATTGATTTATGTTACACAGGTTTTGCTGTCTGATATCTTGGAACATTTCAGTGGGTCGAAAGAAGAGTCAGTGGTTGACCTGCTGAAGCGTATGGAGGCCGAGTTTTTGATATTCAAGAAGAACAACCTTTATAAACTCATGTGAATTATGATGAGTTTGCGGTCATTATTGCCTTAATTATTTGTGTAATTAGCCACTCACTTTTGTCTTGGCAAGCAGAAGTGCTTCTGCAGGCTACTTTCCTGACATGTCTTCAGCTTACTGTTATTGTTCTTATTATTTAGATTAAGGTGCTATTTCTTCCTTGGTATTTGTACAATGACCCGCCAAGCGAAATTTGAAGTTAAAAACACTTGTAAAACATTAACATTAATATGAAAGCCAAAATCCAATAGGGAAATTTTCAGTTATTCTATAAATAAATGTGTATGTACTTAAAAGATGACATTTAATTAAAGTAATACCTAAATTCTGTTACTTCTTTTTAGTGTGATTCTCGTTCGTTTCCATAAAAAAAAAACTTGCAGATATTGAGGGCGAGATTGCGGGCCACCATCATGTCGTCGTCGTAGTAGACTTCGGCGACATTGCTAGGATCGACGGTGAAATCCCAAGAGGAGAATTAATTCGATCCAGGCAGATCAAAGAGGCCCTTTCAAATCGATCGGAGCGCGAGGAAATTGATTGGGTCAGGTATCGCCTGCGCGAGGAGCAAAAATTGGGCGAAAAGACGAAACCGCAGAGAAGCTTCATCGCCAACGATGGCCTCATTTTTTTATCCTATTATCACATACGGCTATAATATATTTAACATATACTGTACATATACTGATCATATACTATACATATATCACAACACAACACACACGATGGAGGCGCGATCGATCTTTTTCTTAAAAAAAGTTACAGAAATATACCACAAAAAAAAGTTGACAGTCGATTAAAATCAAGGTATATTTTTTCCATAGCAATTTATTTATTTTTTCATTTTTTTATGATTTCAACGTTCAATAAAACATACATGAATTGATTTATTTTTTTCGCAATATATACTGAAAGTAAGAGGATGATCGATGAAATTAAGGTATATTTTTTCACAGTCGACTATATATAATTAACATATACTGTACATATATCACAACACAGCACAAACCATAGAGGCGCGATCGATCTTTTTCGTAAGAAAAGTTACGCAAATATACCCAAAAAAAAGTTGACAGGTCGATGCTGCTGATCCCATGATCCAGCGCTACAGATTTGTCCTCCGGCCCACCGAGGAGCATGGTCCAATCCTCGCATCTCAGCCGCTTCACGCCTATCGAGACCCCAGATATCTTAGGGCACATACCCTCCTCCGCCGCGCCCTGCGTCTTCGGCGATTTTACCAACACCCTCCCATCCTCGCCCGAATTCGCTTCGTAGCTAGACATCAGACTGCATAAATTGCCGCAAAAGGCCCCTCAGCCCATTCAATTCCTCGCTCGTCTGCGAATTCTCCCTCCTGAGCCTCTCGTTCTATTCTAGCGTCTCTGGCGACCTGAAGTTCTCTGCTTGGCCAATAGAAGGACATATTACGAAGGCGGTAGTAATTCCCCAAAAGAAAGAGAGATTTAATTCCTTAATATTAGGGATCAGTTATAAATGTATCACTTTTTCTATATTTTTTCTCCATAATTTATAAAATTGAAAATCTGGTATATGTGCAAATAAGTATGGTCAATTTAGTAGGGTTGCAAATAAATATTTATTAGGTGCATAAATGTAATATAAAGTATATTGATTGGTAGGTGGTGCAAATCCCTCAAAGTACAAATCTAAAATCAAAGGAAGTATATTGAAGTCGAGCGATAGTAGTGATTGTGCAAAAGATCGTCCGATTAGACTGCTACCCCTATCTACCTCTTGATGGACGTGCATGACTCGAAAAGCAACTTGCACTTTCTCTGCTACTCAACAAACCTCCGTACGTCAAAATCATGCCTCTTGATGAGTTTTCTTTGCCGAGAGAGAGAGAGAGAGAGAGAGAGAGAGAGAGAGAGAGCTTCTTGAGAATATCTTGGTAGCTCGGGTCCCTTGAGGTGAACATGAAGTAGGCGTACTCTACGACTATACTGGCCGTGGTAGTGAAAATGCAAATGGGTTCCATTACGTCCCACAAGAACTCCCAGAATTTGAGACGAAAGAAGAGCCTGACCTGCACCACGACCAGTCTGAATCCGGCTAACAATATGCGTCGGACCTGTTTGTGCGCCAGTGAGTCAATTTTCTCCTTCTTCTCCTGTAACTTACTGAACTCGTCATTTCTTGGGTCGACCTCGGGAAGGAGGGTAAGTGAGACCTCCCTTTGGACCAGGTCAACCACTTAAAGGTTATAATTTTTTAAATCAACGTTGCTCACGCAAAATTTCAAAAAAGATACACCAATTTGGGCGTTGTCCAACAAACATACACGAATTTGGGCCATGTCAAAAGAGATACATTAGGTTGACACTTTGATCAAATATGATGCATTAGTCATCCCACCAGGATAAAATGTTAAAGTTGACGGATTGTATTAATATAACAAAATAGAAAATAATTCAATAAACTTGAAAATGATATTTAGAGTGAAAATGAATATGAAAGACCTTATGTGGGTGGAGGTATACTTTGACCCAGAAGAGCAAAACCACGCCTACATCGTCTAGAACTCTGGCAAAGGCGGCGGCCTCATCGTCAAACTTGGTAACACCGGCAGCCATGCAGATGGAGATGAGCTCGTCGTAGGGTATTGAAGTGAAATAGATCTCACCCCTTCAACTCGGACGGCCACCGTACCTGCAAGAACCCCAACGCCGGGAGGGGTCCCGGCGTCGGGCCTCCGACGCTCAAGTCAGAATCACTCCAAAAATCCAAATCTCAAGAGTAGTAATCAGTGTAGAGAAAATGAGAGAATGAGATACCTTAGCCCCCTTTTATAGGGGGAGTGTACTTTATGGCCCAAGTTGGGCTTGTCCAATACCATCATGCCACATGTCCTAGCCCCATGTGTACGCTTATTCTCCAATATATTTCCTTTTTATCCATTGAAACCGGTCTAGTATAATATCCTATGTCATCTAGTCCCCTCACTCTGGTCGTGTAAGCATGACTCGATCCAAGAGTGAAATTCCTCTTCGGGCTTGTTTTAGTCAACCTGCCACTGAGGTTATAATTTGAATAAATCCTCGACCACCAAATAATCACCAAACCTCCAAATGAGCACCGGGACCCAAATGAACACCAAATGACCACTGAGGTAAAAAATCAAAAGACCCGCCTCTAAGGTCGAATACCGAAAGACCTGCCTCTGAGGTCGAACACCGAAAGACCTACCTCTAAGGTCGAACATAGAAAACCGAATGACCAATGTGGTCCAAAACTGAGTGACCCGCCACTGGGGTCGAACACCAAAAGTCGAACGACCACTGAGGTCGAAAACCGAGTGACCCGCCACTGGGGTCATACACCGAAAGTCGAACGACCACTAAGGTTGAAAACTGAGTGACCTACCACTGAGGTCAAACACCAAAAGCCGAATGACCACTAAGGTCGAAAATCGAGTGACCCGCCACTAGGATCGAACACCAAAAGCCGAACGACCACTGAGGTAAAAAACCGAGTGACCTGCCATGAGGTGGTACACCAAAAGTCGAACGACCACTGAGGTCGAATACCGAGTGACCCGCCACTGGGGTCGAACCTTAATTCCTATAGTAGATTCCTATGCTCCTAATTCTGCAATGTCGACCTTCCTTTGCTATCTCTCGACCTGGTTACTTGGACTTCCATGATACTTTGATAGATTTTCTCAATCTCTCCCCGAAGTCTTGAATTTGAAAAATTGAACTCACGCTTGCTGTTTCTCAACCATAATGATCGTGCTCTCTTCACTCAAAGATAAACCTTTTCTACCACCTCGTCCTATCATCGCCTCTCAGTTCAAAATTTGAAATTCAACCTTGCTGTTTATCCTCTACATCCATCAATTCTTCTTTAGAGCCTCAACATTCGATAGCCTCATCGGCTTTTTTGCCTCCTCCCAGCTCATCCAATTAATTCCATCATTAGTACTATTGTTATTGTTAGCAATCGTACTTCGCAAGTCAGTGATTTAAATAGCGCGCGGCGAGCCAAGGCGACAAGGCTCCGATTTGCCATGGTGTGAGGCGTACGGTGAGGCGAACCATTATACAAAAAAGAGAAATATATGTACCCGTTTGTTTTGGCATTTCAGCATGCCTCTAAGCTCTCTGGTCCATATACGGGAGGCTGCGTGCCCTAGAAAGCTAAAGATAATATTCCCCTCAATGAGGCCACCGGGCACTTCTAGATCGTTTGCTAGTGTCTGCATTAGAATATAACATATATATACGACATGTTGTGACTTACTGTATCGATGATATGCTATTATTAAATAACAACATTTAATGGTAGACAACAATAAGTACGTAAATTATTTACCTGAGGATCCAGTGCCCACATAACGACCCCCAACACGTAGAGGAGCAGGTCGTGGAGGAGTCTGTCGTGGGGGAGGAGGAAGAATGTCCTGCTCATATGCAGAGTCAAAGTCCTCAAAATCCTCTGAGAATTGCAGCCTATCGGCTGTCGACTAATAATAATAATCATCCTGTTGCTGGAAGCGATACTGCTGATCGGTCTGTACCGGATGAGGCGTCTCGAACCGCTAGCCTGGTCAGCGTGACCAATCTGTCTCGTGCGAATCTGACGCAACATCTCAGCTTCTCTCTCCCGATGAGCGGAAGCATCTACATACCGACTCCTCGCGTTTCGGGGTCCATAATCAAAATACTCAACAATCTCTCTATTGGTAGCCGGTCGCACAGGTCTACCACTAATAATTACTCCCTCATTTTTTTTTAATAAGTGTCGTTTTGAGAAGTTGCACAGTAATTAAGAATCTTTTTTTGCCAATAATACCCCTCATTAATGATGATAAAGATAGATGTTTTGAGAAAAGATGAAGAGTGAATATGAAAAGATGTAGTGTATTTATTAGCTAGATGAGGGTAATAATGGAAAAATATGTACAAAAGATCCAAAACGACATTTATTTGGTTAATTGTTGATAAAGCTAAAATGATATTTAAACAAAAGGAGGTAGTAGTAAACAACCTCTTTAAATTCATATATTTTATTAATTATTATAAAATAATTACAATTAACTATTTATTACTAATATTTACGCTAACTAATCATAATTAATATTATGAATTATTACTATTTCTTAAAATAAATGATTAAATATTACAAGTAATTATTTTCCTAAAAAGTATTAAAAAACAAATATAATAATTATTCATAACCGCATAATTAATATAATTCCAGTTTATGATTATATAATTATAAAAACTAATTAACTAAAAAAATATACAATTTTTTAAATTATATTAGGATATTAATTATAATTTTTGAAACTAATAATTACTCAACAAACCATTTTATTACATATATTACAACTAATTCGTTTCCTAACAATACTAAAGTTACATGCGTTATTCTATTAATAATTAGTATTTATTAAAAAACATTATTATCATAATTTTAATATAATTTCTTTTAACTGATATATATATATATACATAAAATATATTATTTATAAGTAACATATTATTTATAACTACTAAACCAAAATTTATCTAAATTAACCTAAACTAAAATTAATTAATTCTATGTTTAAATTTATAAAATGTTTAAATAAATTATTTAATTTATTTAAAAATAAATCTTAAACTATTTAAATAATTTAATTTAAATTTTAAAAATATTTTTAATTTACTTATCAATTGAAATTATTTAAATAAATTAAAAAAATTAAGGCCGATTGGCCTCTGATCGCCGCCACTCTAAGTAGCGGCTGACTAAGAATATCGGCCGCGTTACTTGCAGCCGGCCGCGCAACAGATTCTTAAAAATTTTTATAAAATGATTTGCAGATCGAAAAAAAAAATACTAGAAGAATCATGAGAATTTTGTTTCGGCCGTGGCGACAATTTTCTATTTTTCCGTAATTGATTTGGTCAGGGGAATCCTCCTTAATAGACGAAATATTCCTATTATGCGGCAAGGCGGTGGTGGCGAGAGAGAGAATAAAAAAAAAAGAAATTATGAGATGAGTATTTTCGACTAAAGGGCAGTAGGTAGTAATAAGGGCGGTGAACAACAATTCACTAAATGAAACAGCTAAACAGGATAATAAGGGCCAATGACGGATCTAGAAAATTCAATCAGGGGGGTCTGATTTTAAATGTTAAATAACGAGTTTCAAGTTTAAATCGAAACACTCATTTCATATAAGAATGTATTTACTATAAATATAAATATTAATATATGTACCATAAAGGTTATAAAAACTTAGAATCTGTATCACCCTCAAACTTTTTAAAAAAAATCATGTATTTATAATTTAAGTTCAACATCTATAATATATGGAAAAATAAGTTATTTTGTTGAAAAAATTATTTAAATTGAACTTTTACACAACATTGCATAACATTTTTGTTGATGAAAGTTTATCAAATGAAGTTTTTTTTTAAAAAAAAAGTTAAAAATACGTGATTACACAAAAAAATGAGTAAAAAATCAACATTAAAAAGTGTAACAATCCAACTAATAAATACTCGGTTTTATAAATCACTAAACCGATTTACAATTAAGTAACCGAAAGAGTAAATCGTTATAAATGTTTTCAAAAGCTTATCTAAAAATTTAAAATATAAGGATTGTTAGTATATTTTTTAATAAATAAATGATATTATTAATTTAAATAAAAATTTCATAAGAAATAAGTTTTGATTAGTAATATACATTTCTATTCATATTTTATAATATTTTCTTTATATATATGTTGATTTTTAATAAGTTTTAATTATTAATATATTGATTTTTTTTTTCTTTTTTTTTTGTATTTGTGTACTTATTTTATAGTATTTTTTTTTATTTATATATGTATATATTAATTTTCTTAAAAAAATCAGGGGGCCCACGGGCCCCAATACATCCGTCCTTGATAAGGGCGGGAAAGTAAACCCTTATTTTGCGGCAACACATTTCTCTATAATTCTTACAATCCCGCATAAAAATCTCTGTACTTCACAGTTCTCACACTGATTTTCCATCTCGAACAGAAGGCAGACGGTGAAACAATGATCTCCACTCTCAGAGTATGTAATTTAATCTCATCATTTTGTTTTTCCTTTTCTCCCCTTTGCTGTCGTTCTCGTTTCTGCCATTAGATATTTTTGATTCCTAGTTTCTTCTCGATTTGGTACAGACATATTTCGGCTTCTCAAATTTCCGGCCGTACCAGAAAGCAATAGTTGAGAACATTCTCCGAGGAAAAGATTGTTTAGTGGTCATGACCACTGGAGGTGGCAAGTCCCTGTGGTATCTACTAAGCTTAGCTCGATTTACTCATGTATCTGACATTTTCATTATCTTCAAGGGGAAAACCATTTTGTTGAAATAATGTATTGGTTAAGCTATCAGGTGCCACCATTGATTACAAAAAAGACTGCTGTGGTCATAAGCCCACTTATATCGTTAATGCAAGACCAGGTTTGCCTCTTAACCTCGTCCGTTTCTTTCTTTTATTGTACTTTCAAGTTTGTTAATTATATCTACCATTGGTTTGACTGTGTCGGAACTCGGAAATGTGAGATGCGTAGGTAATGGCGTTGAAACAAAGGGGTATACGTGCTGAAAATCTTTCTAGCGCTCAGTCTGACTCTAATGTGTATGCAAATGCTGAACATGGTCGGTACGATATTTTATACATGACCCCAGAGAAGGCATGCATGCTAGCTGCCAGGTGCCTTTCACAGTTATCTACGCTTCAAGAATTTAGTGAAAACCTAATTTTATTCTATTTATTTTTTTTCTAATTTTATCTCTATATTGTCATCACCTTTCATTCTGCTAGTTGGAATGCTTTCGTGGTTGAACAATTATGTGAAATTTTAGCTTCCCATCGCATGACTCTTGTGCATTACTTGAAAACTGAATGCACTAAATACTATGGAAACAAAACAATTGACCCATTAACTAATCCAGATCTATAGTTCCTACCGTTACCTCTTAAGCGCGTGATTGGAATGCCGTTTTCACAAATTAATATGATTATTATTGTTTATTTCTTCTCAAATTTCCATATCTACTCCCTACAGTAATTTAGAATTTGCTGTTCTTTTGTATGATCATATTTCCTGAGCTAAGATAATGGTCCTGCAGTTTCTGGTCAAGATTACAGGATTCAGGAATTTGCCTATTAGCTGTTGATGAAGCACATTGCATATCAGAGTGGGGTCACAACTTCAGGTGAGTTTGTTATATATGCCATACATGAGTTTACTTGTAGTTTAATTTTCTCTGTTAAGAAGATATTTGATTCTTATAGTTAGGCAAAATAACTGGTTAGTCTGTGGAAGCTGCGGTGCACAATAGATGCCTAGCATTTTCTATAAGGTTGAAAACTTGAAATATGCGGTAGATTTAAGACATGCGGCAGGTCTGGTTTCACTGATTCTTCAACTGCTTTTGATCAAGTGCAAGATGGACTTAAAATGACCGAGTTGTATTCTTAACCGACCTATAGTGCTTCAAATTCTCCGAGACCTTAAAATTGCCATTTGTTGGAAGATTTCATTATTCTATAGAAGTTTCCGAACTGTCTGATCTTTCCAAAATCGCCATTTGTTTTATTGAACTGCTTTTAATAGCACGAGGATGAAGATTTTATCAAAAGATCAATCGGGCAAAGTGCACTTGCATCCACTTTTCTGCAGTTTCAAGAACTCCATCTTTAGATTTATTTCTAGAAATGTAACCTGTGCTTCGTTTGTTGACTGAAGTCAGAGTTTTCAAGTCAGTAGGGAATCTTTCAACGACTTTTTAGAAAAACATTTCTCATACTCACAGTGGAAATGAACCCATTAGTGTATACTTTCCAGTCAAACCATGAATTTTACCATGGATTGGTTTTTAGAAGTCATAAGGAGCATTTTTTGACCCTGCTGTAGCTAGATTAATCAAGTGAAGCTTCTATGCTTTGAAATGCTTTTGATTGTTTATGTCTTGATGCACTTGTGATTGAAGTTGTGAGATAAGAATCGCGTGTTCAATATATTTTTGTACTTTCCTAACTGGTTTGTGGTGTCTCATGATTTTGTTGCAATGTATTTTTCTTTTCTATGAGATGCTTACTGGTTGAGGCAAATCTGTGTTACAGGGTGGAATATAAGCAATTAGATAAACTGCGCGATGTTCTCTTAGATGTGCCATTTGTTGGACTGACAGCAACTGCGACAGAAAAGTATGTATTTATGCAGTTTCAATTAATCAACTCTATTATCATCTTAATTGTCTCCACTTTACCCATGTACCTGCTGTCATTGTAAGTAGCCTTTTGCCAGAACGTACATTCACAGTGCGCTTGGAATTCTATGTTAACTTAGATGATTTGGTTCCATTTTGTGAAGGTTCCATGTAATTTATCCTTTTGGCAACTTTTCATATCCATCATATAGCTAGGTCCCAGATACCATGTTTACTATCTTATTATTCTCTATGAGGAATATAGATAAGGGTTTCTCAAATTCGAGTATTTCTAATATGATTTCGTGAATCTTAGTTCTACATTAGTTTCACCTTATTTAGGCTGAAGAAAGCATCCAAAAAGATTATTCTATAGGCACAAAATCTCGTTTCTGCTTCTTTTGGAAATAAGTTACATGTTCCAACTGTGAAAGACAAAATATGTTAATATTCAGCAGTCTATCAATCGTTACATTTTTGGTTTTTGTATTTTTCTATAATAAGTATCATTTGCTCGAATGTTTGGATAAAAAGATTAATGATTTCCAGGGTTCGTGATGACATTACAAAGTCATTGAAGATGAAGATTCCTCATGTAACCATTGGTTCGTTCGATCGGCCGAACCTCTTCTACAGTGTCAAAAGTTTTGATCGGGGTAATGCTTTTATGAACGAGCTAGTGAAAGAGATATCTACATGTATCGACAAAGGAGGTTCAACCATAATATACTGTACAACTGTCAAAGATGTTGAAGAGGTCATTCCACTTTTCTCAAGTTTCATATCTAATCTTTATGTTTTGCAAGCATAAGAGTTCGCAAAAATTAATGTCAGCCAACAAACATATCGATTTTAACCATAGATTCAAGCAAGTTCTTTGTGAGGCCTGTTCTGTTTCATGTTGGAGTTATTGGCACTTTAATATGCTTTTCTTTCTCTAGATTTTTAGGTCCCTCAAGGAAGCAAGAATTGAGGCTGGAATGTACCATGGACAAATGTCAAATAAAGCCCGCGAGGACTCCCACAGGTTTAACATTTTATAAATCTGTAAGCAAAGTTGTTATTCTGAGCTGTCTTTTCTCAGATAAATGTAACATTTTTCTTGGAAAGTGATTAACAAGCTTTCTCATTTTGTCTCTCGCCATTTAGATCACACTTTCCATGCTCATCGCTTTGGAAATTTTTTCTGTTTGATCTATATGTACCATTTGTCAAATGAACAGTCCTATTGGTTCAATGTTATGACCAATTATGACTTGTTGCAGATCATTCAGCAGAGATGACTTCTATGTCATGGTTGCAACTATAGCTTTTGGCATGGGCATTGACAAGTCTAATATAAGACATGTGATACACTATGGATGCCCAAAGAGCATGGAATCATATTATCAGGAAAGTGGACGTTGTGGCAGAGACGGGATTCCTTCTTTCTGCAAGCTATATTACACGAGAAGTGACTTTGCAAAGGCAGACTTCTACTGTGCTGAAGCACAAACAGTATTTTTCTTTGTCTTAAGATTCTCAATAGTATCACATATGTGGCCTTTGCACAGTTTTTGAATATGATCTCTTTATGTTCCGCTGATATTATATACCTTCCTGATGATTTTATTACACCAGCCGGAGCAAAGGAAAGCAATAATGGAGTCATATGTGTCTGCACAAAGGTATTGTATGCTGACAACTTGCAGAAGAAAGTTTCTGCTGGAATACTTTGGAGAGAAATACTCATCTGATAGCTGCGGTAAGAACATTATTTATTTCCTTTTCTTTTCTGTATAATTCGTAAGACCTTACTAAGTAAATCCCTCTTATTCTGTCAAACTTGGTAGTCTGCTGTGTAATTAGTATCCTCGCATGCATTATCCTAAATTTTATGCCTGAGGAACAACATAATTTTGTTGTTAATGGCAATTCATGTTGTTTATTTGCTCTGGATACATGTCGTCAGTGAATAATTGGTTCTGATGTAAAGTACCAAGCGTATTCTGGAAATAAAACTTAATCTTAAAATTTGATGGTGGCTGTCAAATTTAGTGATCTGAATCGTGGCACTTCTGTTGGAAATGTGAAGAACTACATGTTGAAAGCAGTTCTCAGGGAACGCATAATTTCCATCTTTATTATTTATAATAAAGGCTTCACATTTAATTTAAAATAGCACTACATCCACAAGCATCAATATATGTCTTGCAATCTCAAAAGTATCTTGGAAATGATAAAACAGTTATAAGTTGCAGTTTGGGAAATCTATTCTTCAAGTACAAAGAACTAGCATTCTAAATCAATGTTATTGATCTTGAATGTGGCCTTTCTCAAAAATTGGAAAATAAAAAATAAGGTTATGCAAATTGTTTTTGGCTCGTTTTGGACGGGTTTTTATAAGTTTATGTTATGCCAGAGAATAAGGTATGTATTTCAATATTAGTTTGCAATTAGGGTCTGCTAAATATGATATATGCAGGAACATGTGATAATTGCACCAACTCAAAGAAAGAGAGTGACTTGTCCAGAGAGGCTTTCCTTCTAATGGCTTGTATTCAATCTTGTGGGGGGCACTGGGGTCTCAATTTGCCTGTAGATGTTCTTCGTGGATCTAGAGTAAGTTCACATGCTGATGAGACAAATATACACAGTTAGAAATGCACGGGGTTTGAGAAGATAAATAGTTTGCAAATGACCTGAGCCTGTTGGAGTTGTCAATTACTTTCTCTCCTTTTATTACTGAATTCTGAAGAAACCAAAATTGGACATAGTCAAACGCCATAATTGTTGTTAATTTATACTGCACTCTGTATTTTGAATGCCTTGAAAAACCAATGCCCTATTGACCCTTTATTTTAATGCTCTAGAAGTTCATTATTCGTAGTAACACCTTTACATGTTAATACAGTCCAAGAAAATTGTTGATGCTAATTTGGATAAACTTCCATTTCACGGACTTGGTAAAGATATGCCAGCTAATTGGTGGAAGGCACTAGCTTATCAGTTAATTTCACAAGGTATATAGTTGTAACCTCTCTCTGAAATATATGTGTGTAGGTATTTCTTGTTCATCCAGGATTAAGATATGAATTATCATAACATCTACTAGTAATTGTTTGCGTCACAATTCAAAGATCATGTTGGAAGTTGTTTCAATAATATATTGTTTGTTTTTTTTTTGTTTTTTTTTCTGTAATTGAAAAATCTCCGTTGTGGCAATGATCCTTCCATATGGTTATTTATAGTTTCTGTTTACTATAATGAATAACCCCTAAATTTAATGTTGAATGTTATTTAATTTACTTTTTGGTTGAACCTCTTTTAGAAAATTAATACCAGTTTAGTAAACTTTCTAAAGATCTTTCATTGAACGTAATAAGGCAATTGTAGCTTTCTTGGGTATAAGAGTTTAACTGATTCTAGAAAACAACAAATGATACTAATGAGGAATATTAGGGGGGAAAACAGATATGAGTGACTAATAGGTGGTGAAATATACAAACTCTGTTGTTAGGGTGCCTAACTTTTAGCCAGCCATACATACAAAAAATGCATACTAATACTATGACATGTCATGCTTCTGTTTATATTGTATTTTAAAGTATGACATCTGAGTATGAAAGTATGTATTGTTGAAGAGTATGGCTGCCTAACCATTAGTGCTTAACAGAAGACCTATGGGGTTAGGTAATTTTGAATAGGAGTATTGGGGTTAAGTGAAATCTGCCCATAACAGTCTATGTAGGGATACTTTCTGTCATCACAAAAATGTTATGGCTTATGACAATTCATACTTCTACTATAAAGCATTTAGATAGTTGTAACTTGTAAGACTAGTTTAAATTTTAAGAATACTTATATTTTTTCTCAAACATTAGAATTTGAACTGGTTTGTTTAAATGTTCTATTGGCTGTTAACTGCAAACTTTTCTTTCAATATTAAAGTTTACAAGAAAGTCCTGATAACTTATTCAATTTTCAACTTAGATAAATTCACTCACGCAAATCCTTTTTCCTGTAGCATTGGGAGGTACTAGAAACTGATTACTTTTGCAGTTATTTTTCCATTTATCTGATAGACACCACAGTTTTATTTGGATTTAGTGTCAAAAGGTGTAGCAATTTATCCTAATTTGTTTTAACTTCCTTTGATTGGTACTCAGGACGACTTTCAATTTGTTGCAGATTATCTGACAGAGACCTACAAAGATAAATACAAA